CATTGGGGAAGTCATCCCAGTCCTGGAAGCAATTTCCCCACATAATCACTTTCAAAATGAAAGACTAATATTCATTTTTAGTACCCTTGTTCTGTAAATATAGCTCTTCGGTCGCGCACTCCAAAATATTGGTCGCACGTCCTCTTTGCACCTGAAAACGCACAAATTCAAAGTTCATAACACAGAGAATGAGCAGCAGTGTGCAACAATTCAACAATATTGAAATGCGCATCTATGCGCTTTATCAAAACATATAGCTTTCATCCATGACAGATAAATCTAAATGAACGCAAATTTTATCACAATTTTTTGAAGAAAAAAAAAACAGATTACACGGCAAAACTGACCCTTCCCCTCTCTCTCTTTCACTAAGATATGATGTGTTCTGCTTACCTCAAAGGATGATTTGAACCATGAGGTTCCCAGGGCAAAGCTCGCATTGGCCTTTTGTGCCAAAGCCCAAGTTCTTGAAGGATCTCCCTGCAAACAAGAAGGTGACAAAAATATTAAAAGTGGCTATCAGCAAAATGCAATTTTTGAAGAAGTCCTTTTTTCGAAAATTTGTTCCCCCTACACAGGACATTTTACCACATACGGTGGTGAACAAAGACTAATATTACGCGACGCTGTATTTTTCATAAGATATGTTTTTCAATTAGCCGCTTAACGCAAAATAAACGAGATTATAGACAAGATTTCATTAAGCTTTTCTGCCGTAAAATCATAAAGAGCAAAGTACTTGTATAGAAAAGCCCGAAGAGAGCCACATAGACAGATGCAAGAACTGCTACAACAATCACAACAACATCAAATGACAGCATGCATAGGCATACAAAAATTACAGTTGTCATAACGTGAATTCTTTAAAATAATTATTGATGGGCTTATTGGCAATAATGATATACTCATATAACTTTATAATAAGCTGATAATTGAGTATATCATCATGAATAATAGCGCCGATGACCTCCTTCAAAATCAGAAATGTGATACCGATTCCACTTGAATTTCATTAATAACCACTGATTGTTGGCGAATGACATCAAGTGAATGTCTACAGTACGGCATTCTTTACAGATATTGTTCTTGAAGCAAAACCCGCTTACCGGCAGGCTCCCTCTCTGTTCATTGTGTACAGATGAATTGACGGTGCTGATCCGCTAGAAAGAATTCGTCGACACATTTCGATGGCCTGCACAAAAGTTTTAAGAATCAACTCTTGAGGCAATGAAATGACATTCCAACCTTGACTGTTCCATACTTCATCACTGCATCGTCATCGTGTTTTATTGGCTCGAGATCTAAGAGTATCTTCTCGGGTATTGTCAACTGTGATAGTTTTGCTATTCGTCGAATAGAATCGTAACCCTAGATATTAGAAGGTAGAAGTCTTGAAAGACCATGGCAAATCAAAACTTACCATGATAGGCATGATTCCAGGAATGATTGGCACAGTAATTCCAATCTCCCGACAATCGCGTACAAATTGTTCGAAGACCTTAAAAGGATAGAAGGAATTGTGATTTCTATTTAATAATCTAATTTGTCAAGAAATAGATGCACATAAGGCGTTCAGAAATTACCTCAGCTTCGAAAAATAGTTGCGTAACAATGAATTGTGCACCAGCATCGACTTTTGATTTGAGATAAAGTAGGTCGGCTTTGTATGACGGCGCTTCAGGATGCCCAAGAGGGTATCCTGCAAAACGAGGATTAAACACTTCTAGAGCACTCCTTCCAAAGCAACGGCATT